GATTGATTTAGCGCGCTTTTAGTAGTTTTTAACAGTACCGTTATATGGGGAGTGGGCGGGGTTGTCATCCGACTTCACCCATTTTCACACCGTCGATAGAGATGCTAAAAACCTTTGTTCCTAGTGAATACGCTGATACTGTATACCAATTAATAGTCTTGTATCTTGTTGTGGAGCTTAGTTATAGCAATTTATTTGATTTTCATCAATGGCGTTTTGTGATCGTGGCAGTGGTCCGATTACGCCCATCTGCAATACCAACCGTCTTACGGTACCAAGAAACATGTTTACCAAGTTTCATGACGATATCTTAATTTTTACTCAAGTTACAGCTTGCACAGATGGACGGACGGACGACAGACAGTCACCCGGATTTCAACTCGTCTCTTCATCCTGATCATTTATATATACATAACCCTATATCTAACTCGATTAGTTTTAGGTGATACAAACAACCGTTAGGTGAACAAACAAGTTGCTAGTGTAGCAACAAGTTGCTACATAGAGTATAAAAAGCAGTCGAATAAAGGCAACACAAGTAATAATGCAAAAGTTGGTCTTATGTTGTAATAGGTATTTCTTTGTTTATTGTATATATTTTGTTTTTATCTCTAATATTAGGCTTATATACAATATATAAATATATGTGTGAATGGTTTAATTAAAAAAAAAATTGCTGCCATTTTAACAAAAAATATTTGATCGCTAAGATTATTCTAAAACGAAAAAAAGAATATTCGAAAATCCGTTCAGTATACTTTAAAAACAACAAAATTGTTAACAGCTCTCAATAAACAACGCTTAACACTCTAAAGCACAAAAATAAAATACAGCATAAATAAAGTTTAAATATCTATATAGTTTTACATTATTTAGGAATGTATTTGATTGTTCTAAACGAATATTTTAAAGAGAGAATGAGAAAGGCAGAAAGGTTAGTTTGATTGCGGTATATACATATGTATGTCGCCCGAAAGAGATGGTTATGTTTGCGCCGCATATATAATTTATATGTATAACTTTGTCACGCAATATTTAGTGTAATATACTATTATCCATGCTAGAATATTTATAATATTAGGAAATAAGCTGTTAAATATATTGTATTTGTAATGCCCTGGTTCTATGCACAGATGTTAAACATCTCTATAGACTTGTACCAGATGAAATAAATAAATAAATAAACAAGTAAGGAAGGGCTAAGTTCGGATGTAACCGAACATTTTATACTCTCGCAAAGTCAAATGGTATACTCGTTTGAGATTTCTTTGAAGATTGACTGATATTTTCGGTAGAAGGTCAACTATAGGCACTGGGGTCCACATATTTAGTACTTAGGGATTTGAACAGTTTTGGTTCGAATTAGACAATTTTTGGCCGCAAGGTGGCATACTTTAATTGCATTATTCACGCAAAGTTTTACCCCGATATAATCATTGTTACCTGATTTGCATAGTGGAAAGTGAAAGAATCAGATGGAATTGAAAATGGTGTTACATGGGAAGTAAGCGTGGTTCTAGTCTGATTTCGCCCATTTTCGCACTATGACATAGAAACATGAAAAGAACGTTATGCACCGAATTTGGTTGAAATCGGTTGAGCAGATCTCAAGATATGGGTTTTCACCTAAAAGTGGGCTGTGCCACGCCCACTGTCTAATTTTGAACGCGGTTCCTATAAAGTCATCTTATACCATCTCAGAGATAAAATTTAATGTCTCTGGCGTGTTTAGTGCTTGATTTATCGCGCTTTTAGTAGTTTTTAACAGTACCGTTATATGGGGAGTGGGCGGACTATTTTCACACCGTCAATAGAAGTGCTAAAAACATTTGCTTCTAGTGAATTTTGTTATTATAGCATTAGCGGTTTAGGAGATATGCACATTAAACCTATTAGAGGCGGGACCACGCCTACTTTAAAAAAAAAAGTTTTAACTGCAGATGCCCCTCCCTAATGTGATCCTGTGTACCAAATAACAGTCTTGTATCTTATTGCGGAGCTTAGTTATGGCAAGTTATTTGTTTTTGATTAATGGCGTTTTGTGGGCGTGGCAGTGGTCCGATTACGCCCATCTGCAATACCAACCGTCTCACGGTACCAAGAAACATGTCTACCAAGTTTCATAAAGATATCTCAATTTTTACTCAAGTTAGAGCTTGCACGGACGGACAGACGGAAGGACGGACGGACGGACGGGCGGACAGACAGTCACCCGGATTTCAACTCTAACTCGATTAGTTTTAGGTGATACAAACAACCGTTAGGTGAACAAAACTATTATACTCTGTAGCAACAGGTTGCGAGAGTATAAAAATATTCACAGGCAATGTACATTGCTAACCATCTGTCAAATACATTGCCATTGAGATTGGGCATTTGCTATCATGAAATATTCATTATCAAAATAGCGTCGAGTAAAAGTTAATCCAGTGCATGTTTGAGTAAGATAACAAAAATTTATGTGGAGGATGAAAATAATAGAAATCTACTTTTTTCTACAAATATGTATTTTGGGAAAATAAGATTTATGTTTTAAGACTTAAATAATTGGCATCTTGCCACCAAAGCTATGCATGCACATGTTCAAAATTTGTGTGCAAATGAAAACAGCTCTGTCAAACCACCAAAATAACAGTTCATTGCTAGCAAAACATAGCATGGAAATGTATTGAGACATCAATTGCTAAAAATTAGCAATGTGCAGTCTCCATTGGCAATATTGCCAGCAGTTCAGCTTTTTAGCAATCTCTCGAGTTGCCCCTTTAAGGACATACTTATGTTTACATATATAAATGCATATTATTATTTAAATATTGTTTCGTTTCTTGTATTTTCTCTCTTCTGCCTTTGCTTAGGTATTATAAGCGGTCCTGCTTGTTGCTTTATATCCCAAGGGGTATCACTGGAAAATTTGCAAATATAAAAAATTGACTTACGAAAACTTCTTTTTGCAGTTTATTTTGTGGTGTGTTTGGAGACACGAACTAAGCACCCAGGCAGGTAGTTTAATAGCAATATTTGGTATTAACTATAATGTTATGTTAATTTATGTACATAACATATGTACCATATTGTTATGTAAGAGAAATAAAAGTGAAATGATTTTAATTTCGGTATATACAATATGTTTGGTGATGAAATTTGAGTGCCAAATTTTTGTTTTATACATATTTAGGTATGTATTTTGATCATATATGTACCTATGGCTATGTGTATATTTATCTATTTTTTTGTTTCCTAATTTCGTTTTCTGTATTTGCTTTTATATGAGCGATCCTGCTTGTTGCCCTATTAGCCCAAGGGCTGGAAAATTGAAAGTATGTAATATTTTTTTGAAGTTTGAAACGGCGTGTTTATAGGCAAAAATTAAGCAAAGAGGCTGGTACTGTACTTTAATTTTTTCAGTTTTTTGGTAAATATATAGCGAACTGTCTTATGGTTATTAAGATCGGTGTAACGCAATACCATCGAAACTCAACATACATACATATGCACATAAAAATTTTTATATTTCAAAATTTAAGTGGAACGAAAGGCTCGAAGGACCTCTGGCTTCGTGAGGCCCTGTGTGGAGAGCGCTGGCAACTCTAACTGCACTTAACCCGAACAGTCATCTTACTAGTTTGGTGTATGATTTTGGCTTTATAGCGTTAGCCCGCTTAGTTAGGTGCTGCATATCTTACTATAGAGTGAGTTACCTTTGCCAATAGTTGCCTTCTGCTCTGACTAGGCCCGTCTATGGTGGTAATTATTCTGCTTAAGGCCGCTGGCTTTTTCAACATTTACTTTATAATAGAGTCTCGCATCGATTATTATGCCTTCATATATAGGATATGGCTGTGAAGCTGTCAGTTGAAGCTTCGCCGTTATTAGCCATCTCTTAATTCTCAGTGTAACAGTACTGCATATGCACTCAATGCGGTGTAGTTCTTTTGCTACGATTGTTTCTGCAATGTCGTCAACATACTCTATGATTTGAACTGCTTTCTTCATTGGAAGGTGAAGGATTCCGTCATAGAATATGTTCCATAGGAGTGGACCCAGCACCGATCCCTGTGGTACTCCACCATGCACGTTATATCGTTTGACATCGTCATTCGTATCATATAGCAGTACTCTATTAGATAAATAACTGTTAACAATATGTAAGAGATATGATGGCGTTTAAAGGTGTCTAATGCTTGATTTATGTGGTGCCAAAACACAGAATTAAATCCATTTTTTACATCCAAAGTAATAACTGCACAGTATTCCTTGGAGCCACACCTAGTGCCCTTAATGGTTTTGTCTGATATTTCGATCAGCGAAAGATTTATGGGTGGTGTTAGTTCTCCCCATCACACAGACTTCGTGGGCCATATATAGTTCTTTAAGCTACCCTTCAATCTCTGCTGATTTGGCCGGGGGCTGCTGATTGGTTTATTCACAGCTAACATATGTACATATTTGGAGCCCGTTTAGGTATCCGGCACTGCTGAGCCCCACAGTAGCTTAAGCTAGCCATGTTAAAGTATGTGTGATGCGTTAAGCAGGTGATGTCCGAAGGTCATATGTCATGTGAACAGTTATGTATTTGTTAAATGTCTTCATCTTCTTTCTCCCTTTTTGCCTGATAGTGTAACATTTTGTTTGCATGCATGTGGAAGGTGTTTCTTAAATTTGGTTAGTTTAGTCCTCGTTGAGATCATTCGATTTTGTAACTTCGTTTGACTCCATTTTATAACACCATATGGCGTATTTGTTTATACCTTGAAATATATTTTTGTTTTGTTTAGATAACTTGTGGAAATTTTGTGTACATGTGTTAAATATACAAATTTAATTTTTTTGTCGTTGTATGCTCCATATTAGTGCTCTGTTTTGTAGTATTCAATTTCTGCCTTATTTTTTTGGAGTACTTTATTTTTAAGTGTTTCAGTTAAGTTTCTGTCAAATTCATTGTTTTGAGTTTTCCAATTGTCGATACCAAATTCAATTTTTATGTGTATTGTCAATTTTACAAACACTTTTATTAGTCTATGTAACACATATAAATTTCCTGCATATAACTTAATGTCATCCATTTATAGTGAACACTTGCATACCCAATTAACTGGTTATCATACACCACTGTATTGAAAATATTGACACTCGCGTAAATAATTAAAAAAAGTGAGATTTATTTCGTATACAAGGTTATATTATTAAAAATTATTGTTACAAATCAAAAGAGGTGCGCCTGCTGTTAGGACTATCCTTTTTGCAGTTGGTGTGTGGAGAATAGATGTGGTGTCATTGTGTATGTCGTTGTTTTGTGAGGTATGCAAATTATTGCCGTGTAAAGTGATGTGAATATGTGTTGCGTAGTCTGGTGTATTGGGGGAGGCTTAGCTGATTTATGGCTCTTAACGTTTCTCCAAGAAATTCATCTGTTTTTATATACATACATGATTTCTGTTATATTTGTTGATAATCAGTGTAAATTAATTGTTGTTTTCTATTTTGCAATATAGTTTTTAAGAAAGCCTATTAGTTTTCAGCGGCGTTTATATATTTCACGTAAATGGATATGGTATTTTGTCCAATGCCTATTGTGCTATTGCTTGGTTTCGGGGTGTGTGTATATATTCTGTGATAACAATAACATCATTGTTTTATGTAAAGATGTATTGTAATTGGTCTGTCGTTTGTTGGTGTAATCTTTTTTATGTTTAATGTTAATGGTTTGAATTTTCGAGTTTATGGCATATTGGTACCAGTAATTGTGGATGTGGTCAATTCCGCGGAGTTTTCAGTTGGGCATATGTTTGATTTTGTTGTGAGTTCTGGTAAGGTTATTGTGAAAATATCTTGTATTGGTATTGTACTGCATGTTTCCTGATCTTGTGTTATCCATGTGCTATGATTGTGTCTTTCAGGTTTCCGCCACATATTTTGCCAATATGTTTGTATTATTCGTTATATGGGTGGGTGTGTGTTTAATTAATCGCGAATGACGCTTGAGTCTTGTAAAATGCTTTTTCGTTATAGTAATTACACATTATATTTGTTTTTTTTCTGATATCCAATATTTAAGTATTCTGTATAAATACAAGTTTTTTTAAATATCAAGAGTGATTATAAGCAGTTAATTTTCTGTTCCGTTTTGTTTCAGATAGTTAGTGACTGTTTTAGCTTAAAAGCATGTTTTCATTTATAATTATATATCGTACATATATTTTTGATCTAATCGGTATTAGCTGCTTTTATTATGCAGATAACAATTTTCGGATGTATTGGTATATTTGAAGGATCAATAGATTTAAGAAAAACTTTCTGAAAGGCGACATATTGTCACATCAGTGTAATGTTAAGTGAAATTGGAGTTTTGAGACAGTTTTATTGGGTCATATTTTTCGTTCTTTTGTTGATGGTGGTGTAAGTGTTTGATATTATTTATTAACCTTAAACCGGGAGCGGATTCGCGCGTAACTTAAAAGACCTATTGGATATATCCGAGAAATAAAACACTATTTAATCCATATCTTTATTTTTTTTTTTAATTAGGAAAATTATTCATTGTCTAGAACAATAATTTGTGGAAAAAAATTTAACTTTAGGTAAAAACTAAGGTATAAAATGAAGAAGAACTTAATTTCTCTTTGGATTAAAGTTCCAGTTTTAGGAACATAAAATCATCATAGATGCTAAAAACTGGCTATAAATCTAGTAACTAATAACAAAAAATAAAATTAGAAAATTAGTTGGATAACATTCATTGTGAATGAGGTTGCGACGCTTGAGCGTGAATGAAACAATTGTGCTCCCTGTATTAAGAGGGGAGCAGAGAGTAAGGGTAAACTGTTTATTTGATAGGTTGTGAAACCAAGACAAGCTACTAAGGACAGTATATGCATGCCATAAGAATTATTAATATTATCAGCAAAAAAGTACTGATTGCGTTCGAATCGACTTCGTGCGATCGCGTGATGGTTAAAATAGGCGGGTGTTTCTGAAGGAAAAAGTTGAAGATTTCCTCTCCGTATTAAATTTTAATTTTTTCCTATTATGATGTTTGTAAATAGCATTGTATAATTGTAGTGTTCATTTTCGATATCCATGTTAGGCGGGTTTCCAGTTTTTATGCTTGGAGGTTGATCTTGCAAAACACTTGAAGTTTGTAAATTTCTTGTTGGTCGGTAGTAATCTTGCAGTAAAATTGCACTTCGCCGGACGGTTGGTTCTTCCAGATGGTACACTGAGGTCTGCGGTGGGTTACTTTCCGTCGTATCTCTAAGCAATGTTATTGCCGTGCTGGTTTACAGTTTTCCATATAAGTTAACAGTTTTTCTCAGGGTTCAAAGGCTCAGGTACCGTAAAGCCATCTTTCTTTTCCCTCCATGCGGGTTTGTCACACCCGTCACCCTTCTATGAGGATGCCTTTGCGGGCATTTTTTATATTATTATTATTGTTTGCATCAAATAATAATACTTTTAACTCTTATTACCGCAGTTAGAAATGTAAAAACAGAAAATTGTTCATTAAAAATTGTCTACATTATTTTGCGTATTATAGAGCTTCAGTACACTGAATATCTTCAAATGTGTGATCTTCTCTACTCTGAAACCCAAAAAACCACGCCTGGAGAAGTCAAAAGTGAAGACAATGCTGATTTGTTTTTATAGTTCCAAGGGTATTGTCCACAGAGAATTTGTTCCACCAGGCCAAAACGTTAATGCGGTATTCTACCTTGGAATTTTGAAGCGTTTGGTGCGCCGTATTCGACGTGTTCGGCCCGAATATCACGATGATGAAAGTTGGGGTTTGTTGCACAATAATGCACCGTCTTATCGATCGACGCTTGTGGCCGATTATTTGACCAAAAATCACATTTTGACAATCAACCACTCCCCGTATTCACCTGATATGGCACCGTCTAACTTCTACTTTTTCAGAAAAATGCATTTGCCGATGAAAGGAAAGCGTTATACAGACCTGGAGGCCATTCAAAAGGCTTGCACCGGCATACTGGCGGCCATACCGGGCAACGAGCTAAAACACTCATTCGACATGCTTTTTGATTAACCATTTGTTCTGTCCTGTCCTGTCCTGTTTACTTTTGAAAGCACCTTGTATCGGCAAATATGTGAGTTATCTTAATGAAAATGAGAGAGCGTGGTTTGCTAATAACAATGTATCTTTGTGCCTAGAATTGATAAAATTGGGTGAAAACTTGACCTAGCTTCTAGAAAACTAATATCAGAATTTTCGAACATGTGGCTCCATATGATTGGTGATGGTATGTGAGGTACCTGAATGAAACCCTGGAAGCATTTTATTAGATTATGGCATGTCGGTAAATGTACTCAATATACTCCACAAAATGACTTCCGTCTTTCCACCTGATGTATTGTACAATCAAATTGGTTTTATTAAGGTCATAAACTCAATTAGTTTTATAACAATATTTTACTTTCCGTTAGCGAAACTTATGTTAAAATCATCCTCGAAGGAGATATATGTGATATAAACTCAGCCGAAGAGGTTAAATTTAATATTTGATGTGCAAAAAGTCAATCAGAAGATCGCAATTGATGATATTGGGGGTATGAGATTAAGACCAAAGTCTAAACTAACTCCATTCATGTTTAGCGCTAAACCATTAATATAACAAGTAAGGAAGGGCTAAGTTCAGATGTAACCGAACATTTTATACTCTCGCAAAGTCAAATAGTATACTTGTTTGAGATTTCTTTGTGGATTGACTGATATTTTCGGTAGAAGGTCAACTATAGGCACTGGGGTCCACATATTTAGTACTTAGGGGCTTAAACAGTTTTGGTTCGATTTAGACAATTTTTGGCCACAAGGTGGCATACTTTAATCGCATTATTCACGCAAAGCTTTATCCCGATACAGTCATTGTTGCCTGATTTGCATAGTGGAAAGTGAAAGAATCAGATGGAATTTAAAATGGTGTTATATGGAAAGTAGGCGTGGTTGTAGTCCGATTTCGTCCATTTTCGCACTATGACATAGAAACATGAAAAGAACGTTATGCACCGAATTTGGTTGAAATCGGTTAAACAGATCTCAAGATATGGGTTTTCACCTAAAAGTGGGCGGTGCCACGCCCACTGTCTAATTTTGAACGCGGTTCCTATAAAGTGATATCATACCACCCCAGAGATAAAATTTAATGTCTCTGGCGTGTTTAGTGCTTGATTTATCGCGCTTTTAGTAGTTTTTAACAGTACCGTTATATGGGGAGTGGGCCGATTTCAGCTATTTTCACACCGTCAATAGAAGTGCTAAAAACAGTTTTGTTATTATATCATTAACGGTTTAGGAGATATGCACATTAAACCTATTAGAGGCGGGACCACGCCCACTTAAAAAAAAAAAAATTAACTGCAGATGTCCCTCCCTAATGTGATCCTGTGTACCAAATAACAGTCTTGTATCTTAGTTATGGCAATTTATTTGTTTTTGATTAATGGCGTTTTGTGGGCGTGGCAGTGGTCCGATTACGCCCATCTGCAATACCATTCGTCTCACGGTACCAAAAAACATGTCTACCAAGTTTCATAAAGATATCTCAATTTTTACTCAAGTTAGAGCTTGAACGGACGGACGGACAGACCGACAGTCAGCCGGTCAGTAGATTTACCAAAAAGTGCGGTTATTTAAATAAGTGCACAATATATAGTGACAAAATGATATGGTCGGTAATTTTGGTAAGGAAATTTTTATTTCACTTGTAACATTTTTAAGTTATTATTTATTTATTCAGTTTTCATTATTTTAAATTGTTTTATAAACTTTGTTGGGCATGGAATTTATAAAGTTTTATATTCCGTCAGAAGGAATTTGTCACCAAATGATGCAAATTGCCACATTTAGTTCTTCAATTGATCCGTACTGTTTATTTTCGGCATACACCTGGCGTACTAGTAGTCTCTATAACATTCATATAGGGAGAACGTGTTGGCCAGTCAAGAAATTCAATATTGTAGTCCTCAAACCACTGCCTTGTGGATCCACTTACATGAATTGCTGCGTTATCTTGTTCAAAAATGAAATTTTTGTCGGAATTTCCAGCAAAATAAATCAGAGAGAACACTCTGATACTCCAGGTTGTTCATCCGATTTGATGAAAAGTGGCGTTCCAAGGTACCACTGGAACTGAAAGCAGGCCACACCATCAACGAACCTTCGCCGAAATTCCGCTTCGAAAAGCACCTTGGTTCTGGTAAATCTGGTCAATAATAGTTGAAACCGTCTGGTCCTACAAGATGAAATTTTTTCCCATCAGAAAAATTTATCTGAAAAATAATAT